CCTTCCCTCCCTCCCTCCCTTCCTTTCCTTCCTTCCTTCCTTCCTTCCTTCCTTCCTTCCTTCCTTCCTTTCCTTCTTCCTTCCTTCTCTTCTGTCCTTCCCTCCCTCCCTCCTTCCCTCCCTTGCTTCCTTCCTTCTGGTGTGTCCATGGGCAGCATCTGCACTGTTGAATTATCAGAGGATCAATAGCTCTTAGACTTATATACCGCTTCCCCCAGTGCTTTCCAGCCCTCTCTAAGCTGTTTACAGAGTCGGCCTCTTGCCCCCAACAATCTGGCTCCTCCTTTGACCCACCTCGGAAGGAGGGAAGGCTGAGTCAACCTGGAGCCTGGTGAGATTCGAACTGCCAAATTGCAGGCAAGTCGGCAGTCAGCAGAAGTAGCCTGAAGTACTGCACTCCAACCACTGCGCCACCGCGGCTCAACAGGGGCCCAGTCTGGTATAAAGGAATCCAGTGAGATGCCTGGGGGAGGAAGGAAGGAAGTTTTCTCAGGGGATCTCTAGGTTTCCAGGACGTCTCGGCCGGCTTCTTTTAAAAAGGCAGGTGCTTCCAGGTGTGCAGGAATGGACAGTTTAGAGCCACAACCCCCACGAGCTTCTCGGTCTTTTTACCTCTCCCAACCACCTCAGCAGGTTACGTCTGGTTAGGTAAGAGAAGCAGAAGGCTCGGCTCACGGAAGCCTTTGGCTCTTTCCTCCTTCAAGGTTCGGATCTGGGAAATCCCAGACGGAGGCTTGAAGCGCAACATGACAGAGGCTGTCCTGGAGCTCTATGGCCACAGCCGGCGTGTGGGCATCATCGAGTGGCACCCAACCGCCACCAATATCCTGTTCAGTGCTGGATATGACTACAAGGTAAATGGGTAACCCTCCTGAGGGGTTGGGATGTTCTTCAGGGCAAACATCACGGGCCTTTTGTGAGTTTGGTTAAGGCTAAGGAGAAAAGATGCTCTCAGAATTTAAATCAGGGGTCTCCAGAGAACTGGTTGTTGGGATTTTTGAATTCCATCCCCTGCATGAAAGTAACTCGGCCTTCCGAGGGATCTTGGGAAAAGCTGGCTTCTTCTCTCTTGATTTCCCAAAAGGTTGACCAAAAGATACCAAATGAGGAGGAGCTGGATTTACTTCCTCGTTTACTCCATGGTTTTAACTGTAGCAGGAGAGAGAGGACGTTGAAGTCAGATTTCTGTGAGATATCTGTGAGCAAGCCAGAGCAGTTTCTCTTTGATCTGTCTCTTCTTCTCCTTCTCAGGTCCTCATCTGGAACTTAGACATTGCTGAACCAGTGAAGATGATTGATTGCCACTCCGATGTCATCCTTTGCATGTCCTTCAACACAAACGGCAGTTTGCTCGCCACCACTTGCAAAGACAGGAAGCTACGGGTCATTGAGCCACGTTCAGGCAAAGTCCTCCAGGTGGGAGCTCCTTCCAAGGGCCTAGACAGACAAGATGCCCAGGAGTTCTGGCCACCTGACTAGGTTGTTTGAAACAGCCACCAGTGAGGAATGATGGCTGGTGTTGATCACAGTGGGGGATACGGAAGAAAAGGGCATGTAATCTTGTCGTTCAGATCTATCTTCCCTGCCTAATTGCTAGACCAGGGGTCCCCAAACTTGGCAACTTTACAACTTGTGGACTTCAACTCTGGGAGTTGAAGCCCACAAGTCTTAAATTCGCCACGTTTGGGGACCTCTGGGCTAGACTGTCAAAAGAAGAACAGTTTCAGTTTGAGACAGGGGCATTTCAGGTTAATGAAATGGTTGAAGGAAAAATACCTTTAGCCCCCACCCCCATTCCTTACAGTAAGTTTGCTGATCAAAATCAAAGAGCTGTTTATAGCTTAAAAGAAAATATAGATGGATTCCTCTGAGTTAAATTAAACAGCTTTAAAATTTAATGTTGGCATTGGATGCAACCGCAGGCCGTTCCTAGGTTTTGGAAGCGGACTGTGCACAGTCGGTCTGAATAAGTCAGTAGAAAAGAAATCAGAACGGCCCCAGCTGCCACTTTGTGGGTGGGGGGCTCCTTGCAGTCCCACCTTCAACTGTGGTCCATGGATCTGTCACTCAAGAATCTGTAGAATGAATGTTCAAAAAAAAACAACAATGGACATAGTTGATAACTTGGTAAGAAAATGATAGCTCTCACCTAGGCCCAGGGCAGGGGTCTCCAAACTTGACAGCTTTAAGACATGTGGACTTCGACTCCCAGAATTCCTCCTCCAGTCATGTTAGCTCAGGAATTCTGGGAATTGAAGTCCACAAGTCTTAAACTTGCCACGTTTGAAGACCCTTGGCCTAGGGTAGCTCTGGGTGGCTTACAGTTGCATATACAGTTAAAACATAAAAAGTTAAAAATAAACGTTATGTTCTGACCCAGGCTTTGTCAATCATAATTAATCACAAACTTGTTTTAAAAGCAAAACCTATTTTATTGCAACACTGGGAATTGTTTTCATTCCCAGCTGGAACTAATCTTAAACGGGTTCCCCAAGATAAGCACACACCTTTCAGTTCTGTGGAATGCTGCCAAAAACAGAAGTATCCAATTAAGTATAAAAGAAACCAACCGAAGTACAAGAAAAAAACCAACCAAAGTACACAGAACTTCAAGAATGAATCTGAACCAAATGAACAACTTTGCTTCCTGCAAAGGTTTCGTCATTGAGGTCTGACTTTTATCCCTTATGGGAGGGGCAATTACCTCCCAGCCTTACTCCTGAGTCACCCCTTCTGCTTCAGCTGCTCTTGCCTTGTAGCAGCTCTGCACACACGCGCACTGGGAACAGGCTCCCCTTGTTCATCGGCCTCACTGCTGCCAGACGCTGAAGGCTCCGGAGTCAGCACCCCACTCCCAGATGGTCCTGGCCCCATCCCTGCATCGGACGCAGGACCCTCGTCTGAGTCCTCTCCAGATTCCCGGACTGGTCCCTGTTCTTCCCCACCGTCCGATTCCGCCTGCACCGGCTGCTGTCGAACCACAACACATTAAAACCATAGACACATGAGGAGGTGGGGGGCAAGGTGGGATCTGTTATGACTTGACCAACCAGCTCCACTGTGCTGCTCTCCCACTGGGGTGCCCAGCTGACTGGCAGACCCCTGTTTTTTGGCCCTTAAGAAAAGAGAGGAGGGTTGGTGCCAACCTCACATCAAAGGGCCCAGATGCTCCAGAGGGCAGGAGCCACAGCAGGGGAGGCCCTCCTCCTGGACGCCGCTAGCTGGAGTAACGGGGCTGATGGGACCCACAGCATGCCTCCTTTCCTGGCACGAGTGGGACAGGCCAATCCCAATGGGGTGAGACTCAAGTAATCGGGACCAGGGGTGGGATTCTACCAGTTTGCACCTATTCTCTAGAACTGCTTGTTAACATTCTAAGCAGTTTGGATAACCAATTGTTAGAAGAAATTCCTGGCCTAATCCTGTCAGGAAGGCAGGAAGGAAACATTCTGGTGTTGCTGACAGAAACTGCCTCTCCCTTAACCCTTATTACATTCTTGGCAGGACTGGACTTCCTGTCTCAGGAACCTCTCTGGAGTTGTTTTCCCCTCCTTTGCTGGTACTTTGCTTGTGTGGAGTGACTATTCAAAGTTACCATGGCACTGAAAAAAGTGACTTATGACCGTTTTTCACAGTCATGAGAGGCCAGGCGAGGAGATGCGTGCCTCGATGTGAGTGATATTGAGTTGGCCACCAAGCCATGCCCACCATCTAAGCCACGCCCACAGAACCGGTTGTTAAAATTTTTGAATCCCACCCTTGACCGGGGACCCCTGCCATGAAGAGTGGCAACCAGTGCAGCTCACAGAGCAGTGGACCCACCCTTGGGGGCCCCCCAAAACTACCCATGCTGCCGCTCTCTGCACCAGCTGAAATGGCTAACTTTGGTAGAGAAAACCAAGATTTCACTGCATCATATAATGTCAAAGTATTAAAATGTTGCTTTAATGATTTGAATTATGTATAGCATGGGAGGAAATTGTTTTTAAGATCTGGGAATTTAGAATGGCATTTTTGGGGAGGTGATTCTCCCACCCACCCATTCCAACAAAGGAGTAACCAACTTTCTGAGTCAACCCTGTGATTGTTTCCCTAGGAGGCAAGTTGCAAGAATCACCGTGTGAACCGTGTGGTCTTCTTAGGGAACATCAAGAGGCTTCTAACAACGGGTGTGTCGCGCTGGAACACCAGACAGATTGCTCTCTGGGATCAGGTGAGGAGAATGGTTGCATGTTTGTGCAGGCGTGTGCAAGGTGCTAAGGTCCAACAAAACAAAACAAAAAGTCTCCTTTTACAACAGCATTGAAGAGAAAGACTTCCGGTTGCCTCTTTCTTACTTCTCCAACAGAGTTGTGAAAGAAGGGCGAGCTCAGGGTAGCAACCACCAGAAGCATTTCCTGCAAATGATTTTAGCTTTTCCCCATTTGGGTTGCAGCTCAATAGATTAAGGAGTGCAGTGGCTCACAGGGTTAGAACACTGGGCTGAGGATCAGCACCTCGTGTTCGAAACCCATTGCTGTCGTGGGGCAGGTTGAGCTCCCATCCCGTGCTTCAGCTGCTGTCGACCCAGCCGTAGGGTCAACTTCACAGGGACATGGAAGGGTCTGGTGTCCCCTGGGTAACGGTGATGTCACCGACAAATCCTTTCTCCACGGAAGAGCTTCAATGTTTCCGACACAGAAGTACTAGTAATAGCTTAGTGTATTGTGTGAACTTAGCACTTTGTCAAACGTGATGTGGTGGCTCTATGAGTGTGCCTGAACCTCATATTATGAGTTAGTCAACAACCCCATAATTAAGCGGGCCATAGCTTATTGCTGTGTATGAGCTCAACTAACATGCAGAAGGCGCTGTGGAATTCTATTATTTATTTATTTAACATATTTATATAGCTGCCCATCTCAAAATTTGGGCAGTGTACAATAAAAAAAAAACAATAATAAAAAAGCTAATTAAAACATCAACGATTAAAACACAATCTAAGTTACCCAGTAATGGTACACTCAAGGGAATCTTTGTTATGGGCAATGCAGTCACCTCACTAATTCCCCGCCACCCTAAGGCTCCAGGCCTGTGGGCACAACCCTGTTCTAATGGATTCCTGAAGGGTATCAGGGATAGAGCCAATTTCACCTGATGATGGCGGATGATATTTCCCAGAGCGGGACCCATGGCAGAAAAGACCTGTGTCCTGGGCCCTGCCAGGTGTAACTCTTCAACAGATAGGATCCACGGCAACCTCTTCTTCTGGATCTGATGGGACAGAGGTATTCCCTCAAATGACCTGGTACCATACCAGAGGTGGCATTCAGCTGGTTCTGACCTGTTCTGGAGAATAGGTTGCGGAAATTTTGAGTAGTTGGGAGAACTGGCCAATCCCACCTCTGACTGGCCCCGCCAACCCCATCTCTTCTCTGCCTCCCATTGAGTCCCAGCTGATCAGCTGGGTCTCCTTTGGTTGCCCTGCACAGGAGAACGGAGCTGGAAAGCAGGTTAGTGGGTTGGGGAGGGGAGGGGAGGGAAGGGGGATTTTGCAGTATCCTTCCCCTGCCATGCCCACCAAGCCATTCCACGCCCACCAACCAACGCCCACAGAACTGGTAGTAAAATTGTTTGCATCCCATCACTGTACAATGAAAGGTTTCATAACCAGCACCTTGATTTTAACCTGGAAGCAAACTGGCAGCCAGTGCAGCTCATGGAGAACAGGTGCCATTCTAGAGACACACTAACTGCCCACGCTGGAACATTTTGCACCAGCTGAAGCTTCCAAAAACCTTTCCAGGAATTAATATGATCTTTGGGTTTAGCATTTCTCTTGAAAGTGAAGTTGCATCCGTTGCACCCAAACTGACGAAATGTTTCCTTGTTTGTTTTGCATTCACCCCAGGAGGATCTCTCCAGGCCACTGATAGAGGAAGAGATCGATGGATTATCAGGCCTTCTCTTCCCATTCTATGATGCTGACACCCACATGTTATACCTGGCTGGCAAGGTACATGAGGCCTGCTTCTGAACATGTGCTGGCATTGCATGTGGTGCTCTGCAAACGTTCTACACTGTCCAGATTGGCTGGGAGGGAAGCATGCACATACACATTAATACTCACTCAAAATTGTATTCATTCCTCTAGAACTGGGGACCAAAACCTAAGTGCAAAGATCTCATGTGAAATTTTCATTTATTTAGACAGAGACCTATCTTAAGCATTTGGGGGTAACAGGTTGTCCATCCCTGATCTAATGTGTCAACGTTTAAATATGGTTTATAGATTGATATTATGTACGTGCGTCCCTAGAATTAGTTTTGTTGAGATTCATGCAACTTGGTTTTCTCTGCCTTAACGTCTTGAGGGAATGTTTTGAGCAGATCCAGGAGAAGGAAGTTAGGTGAAACTAATAAGGTCACGTGAAGTCAAGAGAGACCAATTCACTGGTGCTCAGTCTTGGCACATTGAGTGAATTGTGGGCAGAGTTAAATGTGTCGGAGAGAGCTCTTGCTGTGTAAATGGGCTGACTTTTCATTTACTTCACTCTGTTGATGCTCACCCTTAGGGAATTGTTTCAGACAAAGATCCACCATTTAATTTAATAACAAATTAAATTTGATAGCCATCCATCTCGCTGCAAGGCAACGTAACGGAAGGAATGTGTCTTTGGTCCAGAGAGACAGAGGAGGAGGTATTGAGGACCTTCTCCACCAAGTGGAACGATGTAACCCATCTGGATCTGGGTCTTCCTCAAAGTGAAGCTGGGCTTTAAAAGCAGAAATAGGGGTATACCTAGGCCACCCCCCCACCTGTTTTCTGACAGGCATAACATTTAATTGAACCTGGCCTGGTTAGTGATAAAGAACACTTCTTCAAGTACTTTTGAGGGAAAGTAACTTCTTATCACCCAGTCTTGACTTTTCTCTCCTAAAATGAAATACCTCACAAAACTGCTGTGAGGAAAAATGACCTTCTAAAGGAAGCGGCTATACCCCTGTTGACAACATTGACCAATGGATGTCTGACTGTGAGTTCCAATTAAAAAAAATGTGTTCCAGGTTTTGGATTCTCCACAGTTCTTCATTTCAAACAGCAGAGCCTGAGAGCACACAAAAGCTTGCAACAGATATTCTACTCCTGTCCCAATAATGGTCTTGTCTGATTACAGATGTCATCTTCTCACCATCCAACCAATCTGTCGTTTCTTATAAATCAGAGGTCTCTAAACTTGGCAACTTTAAGACTTGTGGACTTCAACTCCACCAGTTGAAGTCCACAAGTCTTAAAGTTACTAAATTTGGGGACCCCTGTTATAAATGAATTCATAACGTTCAGATGGTGCCTCTGATTTACTTCTCCTCTTCTTCTGCTTCTCCTCCCTCAGGGAGATGGGAACATCCGATACTATGAAATCAGCACTGAGAAGCCATACCTAACCTACCTAATGGAGTTCCGTTCTCCAGCCCCACAGAAAGGGCTTGGTAAGGGGTGCTTATTGCCTTTTGTCTGAGATACAGAGGATTGGGGGGGGGGAAATCACCCGTAGTCCTTCTGCTACGGCTCCACAAAGGTCTCATTCCCCTGAAGAAAAGGAAATACGTAGCTCAGGGTTGAACTGTGGTGCTCACTTGCACGGATGAGGTGACCTGTCTGGGTAAGGAATCATCTGCAAGCAAGCAACCAGGCCCAGACAGCATCAGGGATTCCACAGTCTCCTCCTTCTTGTCCCAGTATATTTCAGACAGGGATTTTCAGAGCTTCTCTCTCACCAGGTTTTCCCAGTTTAGTTTCCCAATCTTTTATCTTTCCTGGCTTTATCCCCACTTCCTTCCCACCCCAACAGGTTTGGCAGTTCTCAAGATTTCCTTTCACTGTTGTGGGACTGGTTCAGAGCTGGTCTTCAGCAGGTTCTGACCAGTTCTGGAGAACTGGTAGCAGAAATTTTGAGTGGTTCGGAGAACCAGCCAATCCCACCTTTGATTGGCCCCGCCAACCCCATCTCTTCTCCGCCTCCTATTGAGTCCAAGCTGATCGGCTGGGTCTCCTTTGGTTGCCCTGCACAGGAGAACGGAGCTGGGAAGTAGGTTAGCGGGGTGGGAAGGGGAGGGGGATTTTGCAGTAACCTTCCCCTGCCACGCCCACCAAGCCACACCCACAGAACCGGTAGTAAAAAAAATTGAATACCACCTCTAGACTGATTCCTTTTCCTCCTTGAGTAGAAGGTTTATGAATAGAAGAACACTAATTCAGCCCATGCAGGAGAAGGAGAGGCAGAGGTGGAATCAAGAGAGAAAGAAGCCTAGAGTCATTACGTGGCCACAAACGATCCAAGTCCAGCCCCTTGAATTCCACTAATGCTCCTCTAGCACCAATTTAATGCTGTTAGTTGACTAGATTCTGGTGTATAGGCACGAGCAATAAATCATCTTAACAGGGACTTAATGCTGAGTCCTGATAATTTATGCCCGGCGGTCAGCAATTGAATAGAATCTCTGTAGTTCCAGTTCCCGTCCAAAAGATAAGGGAACACCGAATGACCGTAGGGGAAAAAACTGCCCAGGGAATTACTGTTGGGGCTGCTCTGATGCCGTATCAACAGTTGTTCTCACCGCTTAGACAGGAATTTTCCACAAGTCAGGTTTTCTTAAATCTTACCCTACGCAGGAGTAATGCCGAAGCATGGCCTGGATGTCTCTGCATGCGAGGTGTTTCGGTTTTACAAGCTCGTCACGCTGAAGGGATTAATTGAGCCCATCTCCATGATTGTACCGCGGAGAGTGAGTAATTCGCCTTTTCTGCTTTCAGCCGTGAGCCCAGGGGTGTCTGCTGAGGGAGGGGGTGTCCGTAGGCCAAATCAGTAGAGGCGGCAATGGCATCATTTTAATCCAGGGGTCTCCGACCTTGGCGACTTTAAGCCTAGTGGACTTCAACTCCCTGAATTCTGGGAGTTGAAGTCCTCCAGTCTTAAAGTGGCCAAGGTTGGAGACCTCTGCTATAGTGAAAAGAGGAGGTGGGATGAAAGTGTCAAATTCGACCTGCCTGCCCCGCGCCTTTCTGGAGGGCAGCTACCCCTGAGAAGCTCACCCTGACCTCGGCCTGGGCGTCCTTTCTCTTGCAGGTTACCTGGTGATGGAGGGCCAGATCTTCACCCTCTTCATCTTCACCACCTTCGCCCTGCTCTAAGTCAGAGGTCTCCAAACTTGGCCACTTTAAGACTTGTGGACTTCAAGTCCCAGAATTCTCCAGCCAACTAATGCTGGCTGGAAAATTCTGGGAGTTGAAGTCCACAAGTCTTAAAGTGGCCAAGTTTGGGGACCCCTGTCTTAAGTAATATTGGTGAGAAGCTAGAGGCCTGCTATCCCATGAATTCTGCAGGCAGAATTACGTCCCTTGAGGCCAACATCTTGGATTGGCACCACCTCAGTCCCTAGGGGAGGCCCCAGAGGAGACAGTAGCTCAGGCTGTGTGGCAGAATAAGCATTGACAAGAAACACCTAATTGTAAGTAGAGTGGAGCTACACTTTAAACTGGAGAATCTCACTTAAGGATGACCTGATGTAGCAGCAAAAATTCCCAAAGAATTCTGGGAGTTGAAGTCCACTAGGCTTAAAGTCGCCAAGGTTGGAGACCCCTGGATTAATCTATTTTTATGCTATTTTTAATTATTCTTGTTTTCTGGGTTTGGTCTGTTTATTATTCATGTATTAAATTTATAAGCCATCCATCTCATTGATAAGGTGACTGTTACCTACCTTTTAAGGGTACCTTAAGGGATAAATTGAACTGCCAGGTAGTCCTCGACTTATCACTGTTCATTTAGTGACCGTTTGAAATCACAACGGCACTGAAAAAAACATGACTAATGGCCGTTTTTCGCGCTTACAACCGTGGCAGCCTTCCCATGGTCACGTGGCCAAAATTCAGATGCTTGGCAATGGGTTCACACTTATGGCGGTTGCGGGGTCCCGAGGTCACATGATTCCCCTTTGGCCTTCCAACAAGCAAATCAATGGGGAAGCCCGTTTCACTTAACAACCAATATGACTAACTTAACCACTGTGGCCAGGGGTGGGATTCAAAAATCCCAGCAACCAGTTCTCTGCCCGGTGGCTGGGTGGGCGTGGCCATAGTGGGTGGGGCTACCGGAACTTCCTGTTCCCGGCTTCCGGTGGGCCTCTGGGAGGGTGAAAACATCCTCCCCCGGCCTCTGGAGGCTCTCCGGCAGCCGGAAACAAGCCTGGTTCCGGACTTCCAGAGTTTCCCTGCGGACCCTGCACTTACCTCCATCAACAATGGGCCACATGGAGACTTCTGGGAGGGGAGGGGCGGGCCCAGCCGGTTGAGTGAAATATCGGTTCGGCAAACCAGCTGTAACTTTAACGTCCAGTTCGCCCGAACCGGTGCAAACCGGTAGAATCCCACCTCTGACCACTGTGACGAGAAAGAATGAGTCAAAATTTACTTAACAACTGTCTCCTTTAGCCACAGAAATTATTGCTGTAAGTTGAGGACCACCTGCATCGCTCTGATGTATAAACACCATCCATCTGTATGAAAATGCTTACCATTTTCACAGTGATTGGGTCAAATTTGAGCACAAATTCCATAGAATTCAGTGGGGCAATGCTGAAATATAAACCTAAGTTTGCAGTGAAAAAATGGCCCTTAAAACCTAGGATATTGTGCCACCGTCGCTCTGCCAGGTTTTGTGCTTTATACAGAAACAGAGGAAATATGGCCCAATTACTTTTTATTTAAAAAATATGCAGGCCAGTTCCATCTTTGGATCGTTTTTCTTCCTGCTCCACAAACCCAAATCTCTTCTGTTCCCATCATCTTGGTTTCTACTTCAGAATATAAATAAAGGCAGTTGTCACTTTCCCCCCTGCACGTAGCAGAGGCTTTTGGAGGGAGGGAAAAGCGGGAAGCTAATGCCAGTCCTCCTCCTCTTCCTCTTCCTTTTGCTCGTCAGTGTCTTCATTGCAGTCAGTGACTATGCACAAAACTCTTTATGTACCCAAAGCTGAGCCTGATTAAGCAATTAAGAGAACATACCCAAGTAAGGAAACGGCTGTGCATCTTGCATAAAACAGGACAAAATTGGGCCACTCTCAAGTAGAAGGAATCCTTTGAATCTGAAAATAAAAAGTTATATGTAAAACCGATCAGAGTGACTGGGATATTTAATTGGCTGTGGGATTAATAATACTGATAATAGTAATTGAATACTGCCCACAATCGAACAGTACGAGGCCTCCTTTAAGGCAGGGGTCTCCAACCTTGGCAACTTTAAGTCTGCAGGACTGCAACCGGGGGTGGGATTCTACCGGTTCGCACCTATTTGCTAGAACCGGTTGTTAACATTCCAAGCAGTTCGGAGAACCGGTTGTTAGAAGAAATTACTGGTCTAATCCTGTAAGGAAGGCAGGAAGGAAACATTCTGGTGTTGCTTACAGAAACTGCCTCTCCGTTGACCCTTCTTACATTCTTGGCCGGACTAGACTTCCTGTCTCAGGAACTTCTCTGGAGTTTTTTTCTTCTCCTTTGCTGGTACTTTGCTTGTGTGGAGGGACCATTCAAAGTTACAATGGCACTGAAAAAAGTGACTTATGACCCTTTTGTCACACTTACGACTGTTGCAGCATCCCCACAGTCATGAGAGGCTAGGCGAAGAGATGCGTTCCTTGATGTGAGTGATATTGAGTTGGCCACGCCCAGCCAATCACATGACCACCAAGCCACACCCACCCAGTCACATGACCACCAAGCCACGCCCAACACTTAAGCCATGCCCTCAGAACCGGTTGTTAAAAAATTGAATCCCACCCCTGACTGCAACTCCCTGAGCTGGCTGGGGAATTCTGGGAGTTGCAGTCCTGCAGGCTTAAAGTTGCCAAGGTTGGAGACCCCTGCCCTAAAGGTACTCCTCCTCTTGGGAGGAACACGGGGTCTGCTTGAAAGCTAATGTCCTTGAAGATTGCTTGATTACCTCTCTGGGGTGTCCTTCCTCTAGTACAGGAGCATCAAACTCGATTTCATGGAGGGTTGGCGTGGCCAGCTCAATGTCACTCACCGAGTCTCCACTTTCAGCCACAATGGCCTCCTGCAGCCCACTGCCGGCAAAAAAGGGTTCCCCGGGCTACATTTTCATTGGCAGAGGGCTGCAGGAGGCCATTGCGGCTGAACGTGGGAAAGTGGCCCTCCCAAGCTCCGCTTTCATTGACAGAAGCACCGCAGGCTGGTCCTTCACTGTTTGCAGTTCTGTGGGCCAGATCTAAGCGCCCCGTGGACTGGATCCTGCTCTAGCATCTGCACTTGAGTTAAGGAAACCCTCGGGAGTCCCAGCTGTTTGTGTATCAGAAAGGACCTAGGGTCGTGATGGGGAACATATGGCACACAGAGCCATTTGTGCGGGCACACGAACCCCAGCAAAAAGTTAACCTGCACTGCGCATGCACACGCCTCTCCCAGCTGGTTTTCAGCTCGTTTGAAGCTGTTCTTGCCCTCCTGGAAGCCTCTGCAGCCTCCGTAGGCCGAAAAATGGGTCTTCCGGAAGGGCCGAAACAGGCCTGTTTTCAGCCTCCTGACTCTCAAACCTCCAGGAGGGTGGAAATGGTCTCCCCTGGGCTCCAGAGGCTGAAAACGGCCACTTCTGCTATTTCCGGAAAGTCCGTTTTTTTGCCTCCTGAGGCTGCGGAGGCTTCCCTGGAGCCTCCAGGAGGGTGAAAACAGCCTCAAACGGGCCAAAAGTCAGCTGGGAGGTGCGTGCATGTGCAGTGCAGGTAACTGGGTGAGTGTTGTGCGTGCATGTGCAGGGGGCAGGACGCATTGCATTGTGGGTGCCAGCGCACGCCCTTTCGACACACCACAACAAAAGCGTTCGCCTAGGGAGTTAGGCTTGCCCAGGAGAAAAGCAACTGACTCCAAGACTGAAAATGCCCACCCAGTCACTGGATTTAATCTTTCTAATGATAGCCAACTTGCTATGCTTGAGAATACCTGAATGCACACTTCTTCCCGAATGTCTGTCTGGAAAAAACAAACAAAACTATCTACTACAATGAAATGGCTCTAGCTTGCTCCTCTTGGAAAGGGATTGCCACGTAGGAGAAATGGCCAGTGTCAGGATCCTGGCAGTTACCCCCGTTTAAATCATGAGTCTTGAGCCAAACTTCCAGAACTTCAGTTTATTGGGAGTTAACATGTCCGGCACTGCCTGGGTGTAACTGACTCTGAGACACATCATTCATTGTCACCCTTGACCCTGGTTTTCCCCCACCCTCTGGGTATATCATAATTCATATTCTCCAATGGGACACCTCCATAGCCAAGAGTCATCAATCATGTTCTCCAGTTAGAATTTTGCATGGTAAAAACTTCAGTCACCTAGTTACTATCTTTGAAAACATTTATGGAATGCAAGCTGCCCACTGCTTCCCCCTCCTTTTCTGTTGGCAACTCTAAAAAGACCAGAGAAATATTTTATGAGTTTGACAGTCAGTCCTTTTGGGTTTATGAATCTTCACTGCAAATCTCTTTTGGGGGTTTAACCCGGTAAATGGGAACCAGCTCAGGGTTTCAGACAAGTTTGTTTCTCTTCTTTCTGATTTAGTCTGAAACATACCAGGAAGATATCTACCCAATGACTCCGGGTCCAGAACCTGCCCTCACTCCAGACGAATGGCTGAGTGGAATGAATAGGGGTGAGCATGTTGGCACCTCCAGTTGATCTCCTGGACTTCGCCTCATCATGTATAGCCTGAGCTGACCCATCTTGTTTGGAAAGATTCTAGGGTCAACTGCATTTAAAAAAAATAGTTCCAGATTGGTCAAAAGTTTGACATCAAGGAAAGAATTTAAAAAATGTTGAGTTCCCTATATAAGACTTTTAATATAGTGTGTCAATACCTGTTCAAGAGAAGAGTTAAAGCAGGGCCCCCCAAACTTGGCAACTTTAAGACTTGTGGGCTTCAACTCCCAGAATTCCTCAGCCAGCTAGTGATAGAGGGAGTTGAAGTTGCCAGAACTTTGGGCGAGAGTGACCATGTCATACTGGAATTCAATATAATGCAAACACATGCAATAGAACATAATCCAGCCAGTGTCTTAAACTTTTAAAAAGTTGATTTTAACAAACTCAGAGTGAGCCTAAGAAAAATTACATGGATGAAAATCCTAAAGGTGAAAACAACTCAAGAAGCATGAGAAACTCTGAAAAATATGATCATAAAAGCCCAGACCAACACAATATCACTGAAAAAGAAAAACAAGACATCCATGTAGAAACCAGCATGCACAAAGATCTCTCTGATAAACTGAAAGACAAAAAGGACAAGTACAATACAAAAAATGGAAAGAGGTACACATAACTAAGGCAAAGTATTGTACAGAGAGCCCAAATCTGCAAAGATGAAGTCAGGCAAGCAAAGGCTCGGAATGAACAAAGAATCGCAGTCAAAAGTAATCGGGAAATCGGCATGGAAAGGAATCTTTCCACGCCGATTTTGTTTGCCACCCAATCTTTGAATTGTGACCCAATTCAAAAATCGGGTGGATTTTTCACCTGATTTGGGCGCGATCAGGAGCGTTCACGACCCGAGGCTCCACTGTATAGCTCAGTCTACCAAAAACCTAATTGTAAAAGACAGACTAGATATAAAAATTAAAATAAGCAAGAAAATGGTTGCAGGCACCTGTCTGATCTTGACGAATATAAATCACCCGGACCTGATAGATTATATCCCAGAGTTCTGAAGGAGCTGGCAGATGTTAGCCCAGAACCATCGTACCATTGTATCTTTCAAAAATCCTAGAGCACCAGGGAAGTCCATGAGGATTGGAAAAAGGGCTGATGGGTTTCCCATCTTCAAGAAAGGGGGGGGGGAAACAGACCCAGGAAACTACAGACCAATCAGTCTAACATCAATACCCAAGAAGGTACTGGAAAAGATAACCAAAAAAACAGGCCTGCGAACATCTAGAAACAAAGGAAGTTATAAAAGCCAGCACAGGTTTGTTAAAATTAAATCATGCCAAACCAATCTATTTTATTCTTTGAAAAAGTGACCAGCAAAATGTTTTGGACATAGTATATTTAGACTTCAGCAAGGCATTTTGACAAAGTAGACCACCAGTTTGCTTCTTGGTAAACTAGAAAAAGAAGGCCTTGAAAGTCCCTTCCAGCCCTGTGATTCGATCTTTCTTGTGTTTCTTTCACCTCTGCCAAGATTCATACCTTCCTCTGATCTACCTTGATGATTACTGTAGTCTTCGTTGTCCCTTTTGAAGGGGAGGGGGGGCGATTTCAAATCTTGCTTTTCTTCAACACTCAATAATTTTTAAAAAGAAATATAATTTTTAAGATATTTTTATCATACCCTATTTTAATAAATAACTCATTGGTGAACAGACCTAAACTCTTGTTTTCCCCACAACAATCCTACGTCCCCAAATCACCCATTTATAAAGGGAGCTGCTAGTCAGGTGGAGGACCACATCAACCCTTTGAATTATTTTCCACAGACAATATTTTATGCCAATCGACTCTGCCATCTTCCCCAGCACAAGGAAAATCTGTTAGTCTGGATCTCCAGAGAACATTGCCTAGAAATCTCAATTTGGAGGCGCAGGGTAGGCGTCAAACTACTCATCCTTCTGGGTAACTGAGAATGGCTGCATCGCCAAGCAGCGATTACCCTAATAACTAGGAGCAGCTAAGGAGAACATGTTTGATTAGATAATAGAGCATCCATGTCAGCTTCAAAGTTATGGGGAATGGTGGAGTAGTTGCCAGAGAATTGGATCTACAGGTTGATGGATCCAGGAGGCATGCGTTCATAAAATAATCAAATTTGAAAACAGAGGTCCCCACCCCCCTCTATCAGTTTTATGGGGTGCTGTTGCTGGCAAAAATGCTAGCCATGAGATTGGTGGCTCTGGTAGCTTTTTGTTTTTTAAATTTTTTCTATTGATGCCCATCCTGAGATGTGGGTTTTATGTTGCCTTTCAGACCCCATATTGATGTCTTTAAAAGAAGGCTATAAGAAAGAATCCAAAATAGTTTTCAAACCACCAATAAAAGAGAAGAAAAATGTTGTTGTCAATGGGATAGATCTCTTGGAAAATGTGCCACCCAGAACAGAGAATGAGGTAAGAAATAGCAGCTGCGTTCTTTCCAACCTGGAAAAAGAAATGATTGCCAACTTCTCCATCCCATAATTCTGGGGAGGTCTACCAAACCATGCTGGGACTGCCGGATGCCTCTCAGGTTCTCCCGGAAAAGGTGACCCAGGGGTCCAAAGGGGGCCAGTCTCAGATCCTGCAGCCCATTTGCTGCCATTGTTCCAATCTATTCAGCCTCACACTCTGTTGATCCTTTTCTGTTTCTTGTCTTCCACGAAGCTCCTCCGAATGTTCTTCCGGCAACAAGACGAGATCCGCCGACTGAAGGTTGAGCTTTCGCAGAAAGACATCAAAATCCGACAGCTACAGTTGGAATTGAAAAACTTGCGCAATAGCCCTCAAAACAATGGACTCTGAAGGGAATTTTTTTTTTCTAAAGAAACTCTTTGTTTATACCCACTCTTTAATTTTACTGTCTCAACACATGATATGAGCCAGAGACCCTGTGCCAGCACATGGGTGCACCTGCTAACTGGAAGCCTCTTCTTCTGTGGTCGTTGCCTAGCACTAAAAAGTTATTTGTATGATTTAACTTGAGAACTACTGCATGAAAAGAACAAGGGAGGTGTATATTCCAAATTTCTCTTGAAGTAAGTAGAAGCGAAATGCTCTTTGTCATTCTTGCAAAATTACGGAATCGTTTTTCATCTCTGATTAGTCCAGGGATGAGAAAAGCAAAACACTGTAAGCCCAGACAAAAGCAACTGAATTCATTGTTACTTACCTTTCTTTTCACGAGATAAAGGGTGGATGTCCATAAACAGCAAGTGTGCAGTTGGAACGCAAACACACTACCCTGAAAAGAAATCTGGAAGGAAAACGGCTTCCCTTCTCTTGGGAACCGTCCGGGGGTGGGTGCCTTGTGACCTGAGCGTTCCTTGAACCCTGCAGCCGGTTTGGGCTTTGGTGTTATTGAACACTCTCCAGGGCTCACCCTGCCTGCCTGGCACCTGCTTTGCTTGGGCATCACTTTTGGGCTGGTAGCTACAATTTATTCTGTTGAAATATACCCAATGGGCACCGGGTAATGAATACATGCAGGTCGCATCTCTAATTGGTCTCTTCAGGAGTGGTTGTGAATGTACCCATGTACACACACATAACACACACACACACACACACACACACACACACACACACAGAGTTACAAGAGTCCTGAAGATAAACTTGACAAAAGGAGACAGATGCTGTTAAGTGACAAGTAGGTGAAGGTTTTGAGGGAATACAATCCAAAATGCAAATCCAACACAAACAGGCCTACCAAATCATCCTCTTGATCAAGAAAGGCCCAACGGGTTTTTTTTTCAAGTGGGGAGCACTTAATCCAGCAAGAATTAAGCACTTTTAATGAACTACCCATTAGCAGCTTATGAGTTAGGGGAATATTTCATTCGTTTTGGTAGAAGCAGTGGACAGTACAGACCTGCATTTCCAGCTGCATATCTATCCTGAAGAGTGCCAGTCCTACACGTTAAATTTGACTCTCCTGTCCTGACAGCTTTCACACAGATTCATAGCTCAGGTTCTTCAGCAGCTAATGGAGCAGTTGGCAAAGGGCCGATTTGTGGCAGGGAAAGGGGGTGGTAATCCTTGTTGAAGCCTATCCAGGAAGATGGATTGCCATTTGCTTCTCCCCTGCCCCAATGCAGACCTGCTTATTGAGCGAATGATCGGATTATGAGGTGTGATGCCCTGGTCGCTTTCATGGCACTTCACAGAACTGCAGGCCCATTCTAATTATTTAGACTAAATTTAAAAGAAAAAAACACCGATTCCCATCTTTTTAGGACTGGGAATTGGCAAGCTACCTGTACAACAAAGTGCCAACCTTTAGCCTCATACAGGTGCCATTCATGGAGGTTGGGGAGGGGGGTGCAGATTTCAAAATCAATATAGTGGTCAGGATGCATTAGGAAGGCTTTGCATCATGGCCCTCTTGACTTCACTTCCAAGAAAAACTCTGGAGCTGAACATTTTGCCTGCTGCCAAAGGCAGTCACTGGAAAACCCTCCCCCATAAAAGGGGGGGGGAACGTTCAACCCAAGGCATCAGGCTAGAAACCAGGTGTCTTGAGTTCTAGTCCTATCTTGGGCATGAAAGACAGCTGGGTGGCTTAGGGCCAGTCTCTCTCTCCCAGCTCAATCCACTTCATTAGAGTTGTTAATGGGGAAAAGAGGAGGACGGAGGAGTGTTTGGTATATTTGTTGCCTTGTTATTTATAAAAATAATCTCAGGATCAAATCTGAAAAACAAAGAAGATATGAAAGAGCTCCAGTAGGCAGCCATCCTGCAGAAGGGCTGGAGGGGGAGGCAGGTAGGTAGGACTCCTCCGTCATAGCCATTTGGGGAGATCACCCACATTTTAGATTTCTGCATTATGGCAACTGCTGTTCCCACCACGATGGCTGAGCCCATTCTGTCTCTGCCTTCGCGCCATGCATGCAGCATAACAAATGCCTTTCTCACTCACGGCTGGTTGGTTAGGATTTCTTGAGTCTCCCACTCTAGGAACTCTTAATCCCAAAGGAGTTGTTACCTTCAAGGGCTGGCCCTACATATTTTGCCGCCTGAGATGGGAGACATTTCGCGCAGATGCTGGGCGATGTGGCAGCTCAACCTGATGGCACTGCTCCTGGCTGCCTTATCTGGGCGGCAAAAATGCAGGTGGCACAAGATGGCAGCCACTAGTTTGGGGTTTTGTATCCCTGAGGTGCCATCTAGTCTCTCCCAGAATTTTGCTGACCAGATCTGCTAGCCCTTCTTTGGGGCAAAGAACAGGCTCCGTCCTCCCGTTAGAGGGTTTTCTATGGGTCAAGCAGGAGAGTTGCTGCTCTCTGCGATCTCCAAGCATCCCTCTTTCCTTTGCCTCCCTTTCAGGGTGGCTTCGGCCCCGTTTAGAGCCCTCTGACGAGAGTATTCAGAACAGGATCATGGAGCTGCAATTCCTGTGCTGATATTGCGAGAGTATTCTGCGTTAACTAGCTTCCTTCATCCCTATTACTAGGACTGGCCACATACACTTGCAAGGAAAATACAGTTGGAAGGTAAATTTTGCAAGGGGGTCGGGCAGAAGTGCCTGCCAAGCGAATAAGTACAGTACAGAGTTCAGCTTGGAGTCACCCAGATATGTTGAGTACCCAGAATTTCCAGTCTGTATGGCCCGGCCAATGCATCCTGAAGACATTCAGCTGGAGAATGGCTTAATATTTAATTCCCTACTTTGCTCTCCAAAATAGAAGAGAGGATGGCTGGCTGCCTTTACAGAAAAGGAGTGTTGTGACTGTAATTTAACTTTTGCTGCCAGCTCCTCTAAGCATGACTCTTCTCTCCTTCCAGAGCCACACCCTTTTCTCATAAATAAGAAAGTGGTAGTTCTGTCTGTGGAATCCCGATCAAATTACAATGGCAACTGAGTTTCAATGCCCATTGAAGAAGTCAAGCGCCTGAAATGTTGTGTACAGTATTCTAGAATAATCTCGTGTTCCTGAATGTGACTTTTTGTATTGGGGAGTGTGTAAGTGAACACATTTACACACTACCTCGAGAAGCCTGCACTGGGCCCACTCACACTTGCTGCTGTCATCCATCCCACAAGCAGCAGAACGCAGCCAGGACACCTGCCTGCTAAAAGGGTTAGGAGAGGTGTTGTAAATGCAACTTTGTTAAATCAAAGTTGTTGCCCCTGGACCAGCCATCACCCTTAGCCACATTAGCGATCATCCTGGCTTCAATCCAGTTTTCGCTGGCTTGGACCTAGCTAAGTGGTTGGCCGATTCAAAAGATTTAAGGGGACGCGTTCGAAGTATCGAAGCCATATACTATTTCTGCTCACCCTCAGCTATGGTTTGGGAACCATCCCATTCAGATGTTCTGGGGAATGTAGTGACAAGCTTTTACTACACAGAAGAGTGGATCTTAACAGGGTCCGTTTTGTCCATAAAGGGCCGGAAAAAGCTGACCTTTCAACTTCTCAGGGCTTCTGGTTTCACATTTCCCACGCCAGTTGATGTGGACAATCACTTTCCTTGAAACTTAGAGCCAGGTTGCCAGATTCCACACTGTGCACCAAAGAGTCTACCTTTGACCACACTGTTAATTCACAAGGACAGCCAGGCAAGTGGGCTCCTTCCCTTCTCTTCTGCCATCCATGTTCACATTGTATTCTGTGCCTAACACGGATTTCCCACTGCGCCACTCCAGTGTTCCCATCCGCTTATTTATGCTGCCCCGCAGTAGCCACAAAATAAAGCCGCCCAAATAGCAAACCAGTCCGTTGTGATGTCTCCTTGCCTTCTGGGTGGAATGAGGATATATATGCCTTCAAAAAGGGGGGGGGGGGGCAGGCAAAGTGTCTCATGGTATGAAGTCTGAAACAATGGCCAGGATTTTATAGAAAGCAGCCATCAACTTGCCTTCATGACAGAGCTTGGAGGAGAGTAAACGCTGGGCCCATTTAGCCTCTTTGACTTTTTCCCACCTACTTTGTGAGTAGGTAAACCAAGATGGTTTCCTTGAGGGGAAAGAAGACTCCGCGGAGGGAAGTTCCCAGCTAGAAGAGGATCTTCTTCCCATGGGATCGAATGGAAGTGGAAAACCAAGTAGGCTACAGAGGTCGGAAAACTTCTCATTAACCTGACATAAAAAAGCAGATCTACCAGATCTACCTCGTAAGAGGTTGTGCAAATCTGCTTTCTCCAGAGAACTCTGGGTTGCTCCCTTTTCCTCCCCTGGAATGGCCAGGTCACTGTGGCCCACAGGAGAAAGAGAACATTGCAGAGTGTTCTGGAATGTTCCGTTCCTGGAAAGGGAACTTCTATACACATCATGGCTGCTCCCATTCTTCCAGGGCTCTAGCGGGCTCCTCCTCTGGGAAGCCTGGAAATGAAATCGAAAGCCACTTAATTAGGCCCCAACTTCTGTTTCACTGAAGTATTTTGCTTTGGTGGACTGAGCCATTGGGATTAATCAATTTTCTTTTTTTTTTTAAAGTTTCTTAAAATAATTAGAAGTTTGTTGTTTAAAAAAAAAAACTTCAAAATTAAGCAGCAAATTCCCACGTGGCCCATTTACTGCAATAAGCCACAGGAAAAAAAATTGTATAAAAAGATTTATTGAAATTCATAATTAACAAAGACATAAAACTCAAAAAGTTTGGCTCTTTGGGGAGCAAGAGGGAAGGTCGCAATGGTTGTGCTTGTTTATATACAGATGAGAAACTGACTAGAAAATACAAGCCCACTTCTAATGCTCTATTTGAAGAGGGACATGAAATTAAATCTGTACATTCAACTAGGTACTTTGCAGTCAATTTACTGACTTTTTAAGAAAATACAACTTTTCTATCAGCAATCCATGCTCATGTATGAAGAGAGACCCCGACTGGCCTGGGAGTCCAGTAATGTTTCCTCTGGTAATTAAAAGCTTTGCAAAAATCTTCAGCGTACTGTAGAGTAGACCACACGTGGAAACAGATTCTCATCACCTAATATCAAGGAGTTGTTAATATACTTTTATATATAGTATTTTACAGACCAAAATAGTACACACTTTAGTTAAAAGGGTTCAAACATTTTCTTTTTTTATTACAACTGTCAAATGCAATTCACCAGTTAACTCAGGAAATTAGGAACACTTTTTATATATATTTATAGATATTTCCATGACTGCCGTTTTACAGAGAACTGCTCTAGATCCCCTCAAAATAGTCAGAAGACGAACCAACCAGGAATGGGAGCTGAACAAGGATCCCGCCGTATTCTTGGGCAGTTCCCATCCCGAGAGAAGCTTGCCCAGCCATGCTCTACAAGATTTTTTTTTTAAAATAAAATTTTGCAAAGTCACCCCCACAAACCAAATAAAAAGGAGACGGAGAGAGAGAGAGAGGAGAGAGAAATTACATAGTTGGTCACTATTTACAAACAGCCAAGTAAATGTTACCGATAGGAAGTGAAAGAAAAAAGGGTTTCTGGGAACGGCAGCCATTCACAAAACAGGTAACAAGGAAACACTCGGTTATCTGGATGCTGCAGCTGCTCCCCTGCAGTGATGGCGGCTGGGAGGCTCCCACGGCCAATCTTGCTGCACCCAGAAGAGAAGAAAGAAATACTTACAATATCCTCATAAACTGGCAAAAAAAGGGGGGTGGGGAAAAAGAAGAAGCCACCGGGTCTCCAGGCCCACATTATCCCTCTGCCCTCCCTGTTCCAGCCATCCATTTGAACCCTTGTGTGAATTGCCCGGCTCGCATTTATTTCTAAAAAACTTTTTCTACAAAATAATAATAATCCAGAGTCCAGGATGAGCCAATCCCAAGAAAAACATACGCATGTCTTTCCGTGGTTTGCTTCTGCAGAAACAGGAATAAGCGAGAGAATAATTTTTTTTTCAGAAACAAAATGTAGCAGTCGGAG